CTTCCCTCCTTCCCTCCTTCCCTCCTTCCCTCCTTCCCTCCCTCCCTCCCTCCCTCTTCTGCTTGTTCTGAAGTCTAGTCTTGAGGGCAGCATCTTGAGCAGTGATGTCCAGACATCTCTTTCCACAGCCACCTCTTCCAGCTCTTCTGAGAGGACCCCAAGTTGTTCCCAGGCCAACTGAGCGACATGTGGCTTATTTTCACTGCTCCTCATCAGCCCCAACTCAGCTCAGCCTGGCTCAGCTCAGCCTGGGTTTGCACCTGACTGGTTCTGGAAGCGTGTCCAGAATCCAAAGTCCGTATGAGAGTTCTGCGATGAGTTAAACTCGGAGCAGTCTGCTCCTCAGATAAATAATATTAAATTATTATTTTAAATATGAATGTTTCTGTTCAGTGTCCTGACACGACTTCTGTTGTGACTTGGTGTTCTATAAATAAACTGAACTGAATTCAATCTGATGAACCAGATTCTACTAAAACATTTCTATTTAAAATTACATCTTTTTCTTCATCATTTGATGTATTTGCACTCATTGTGCTTTTGTTTCTTGTGTACAGATTATTTTTAGCTTTGATTTAAAGCTTAGATTTAAAGTTTAATTCTTGTTTAGTGATTTGTTCATCTGTGGGTTGGAATAAGGTTGAACTAAAGGCTGTCACTTCTTTAAACATGTTTGAGGGAAATATTCCTGAGAGATTCAATAATTTTGTATTTTTATGATTTTTTAGCTAAGTTGACTTTAATTAACAGATTATTTAATAAAGTCAAAGTGAAAACAGGATTTTCTGATAAAGCCGGCACAGTTTATTTTATTCTTCACTAATTAAAAAAAAAAACATTATTTTTTTTATAGATAAAATGTTTTTTAAAAAACATTTCCACCCTTCGTCCCAGTCCTCCCGCCTGCCAGGGCTTGGAATCCGGCCTTTGTGAGCAGGCGAGACCGGGGCTCTGGTCGGCAGCTCGTATGATCCTCTGCGGTGACTCCGCTCACTCGAATTTTGTCGTCGGTCACCAAACACAAGAAACGACTGGACTTCAGATCTGAACACGGTGTTGTCACTATTGTTTTTAACATCTTAAAAATAGATTCAGCCGCTGCTCCGCGTCCTGAGAAATTGCAAATGGAGGATCGGTGAAAAGTTTCTGTGATCCAGTGACTCCTCCCCCTGACCAATCAGTGTCCTGCATTCACGTTTCAGTCCGGAGTCAGCTCAACTCAGCTCTGATGGTCCCACCAGAGAAGCGGAGATGAAAAGAGGTCCTGAATCGGCCTCGAATCAGCTAAATATACGAGCTAAAGTGCTGGTGCAAAAGGGTTCTTTCCGTGTCAGGCTGCGCAGAGTTGGGGCTTATTCAGAGCAGTGCAAATACCCCAGTAGTCTCTAGCGTGTCCTGGGTCTTTCCTGGGGTCTCCTCCCAGTCGGACATGCCCGAAGCACCTTCCTAGGGAATTGCCCAGGAAGCATCCTTACCAGATGCCCGAACCACCTCAACTGGCTCCTCTCTATGTGGAGGAGCAGCGGTTCTACTCCGAGTCTCTCCTGATAACTGAACTTCTCACCCTGTCTCTAAGGGAGAGTCCAGTTCCCCTGCAGAGGAAACTCCGTTCGTAACCATAGGTGAGGGTAGGAACGTAGACCGACTGGTAAACAGAGAGCTTTGCCTTGCAGCTCAGCTCCCTCTTCACCACAACGGACCGGCACAGATTCCACAATACTTCAGATGCTGCACCAATCTCACACTCCATTCTTCCCTCACTCATAAACAAAACCATGAGATACTTGAACTCCTCCAGTTGAGGCAAAAACTCACCCTCGACCTGAAGAGAGCAGTCCACCCTTTGCCAAATGAGGACCTTGGCCTCAGATTTTGGAGGTGCTGCTTCTCATCTCAGCCGCTTCACTCTCTGTTGCAAACCACTCCAGTGAGAGCTGAAGATCACGGCACAATGACTTCAACAGGACTACATTATCTGCAAGAGATGGAATCCTGAGGCCACCGAACTGGAATCCCTCCGCCCCTCGGCTGCACTGTCCATAAAAGTTATGAACAGTATCAGTGACAACGGGCAGCCCTGGTGGAGTCCAACTCCCACCCTGAAGGGGTCCAACTTACTACTGGCAATGTGAACCAAACTCACGCACCGCTTGTACAGGGATAGAACAGCCCGTAACAACAAGCCTCCAATCCCATACTCACGGAGCACCCCCCACAGTGTCACCTGAGGAACTCTGTCGAAAGCCTTCTCCAATTCAATTCAGTTTATTTATATAGTGCCCATTCACAACAAAGTTGTCTCAGGGCACATTACAGAAACATTCACATACACATAAAAACCAGTTAGTAAAGTTGAGGAAGCAGCAGACTCGTTGAATCTTCACTTCGTCACAGTCTCCCATCCTGAACAAGCACAATGGCGACAGTGGAAAGAAAAACTCCATTGCAAGTCCACAAAACACATGTAGACTGGATGGGCAAACTTCCATGACCCCTTGAGGACCCTAGTGAGGGTAAAGAGCTGGTCCAGTTTTCCACTACCAGGATGGAAAAGTACAAAAGTATTCAAATGTATGAAGTTTAGTTTTTTTTTCAGATATGGATATGTATGTGAAAAAGAACTATAATATGGACAAACTTTTATGTTTTCAGCCTCTTTTTCACTATTCAGTTAAGAAAAGTTAAATTCTAAAATATCCTGATGCATGCTCAATAATCCAGGTAGAATAATCTAAAAAAGTTAAATCTGGTCCTCTGGACATTGAAAAAAAACCAACAAAGCAAATCATGTTGTTTTGAATGTCCATAGGACCAGATTTAACTTTTTTAGATTAAATTCTAAAAATTAATTTCTCAAATGAAAGAGCTTCTTTTCATACAGAATGTAGTAATTCTACATAACTTTCCATGTCAGATGGGCATGGGAGCAATGTGTCGATGTAAAAAATGTTGGGAACTTTTTGAGATCAGTTCACATTAAAAACACGTTAAAGTACAGATCATTTATCGTTTGTTGCA